TAATGGGCGGAAATGGATTTGGTTTACCTGTGTCGATATTCTTTTTTTTTTTTTTTGGGGGGGTGTAGCCATAGTGATTATTTGTAAATGTGTTCAGGTAAGTATCAAAAACTTATAATTCTTCCGGGTCATTTGAAGATTTGATATTTGGGGGATAGGTTAGAGTGAAGTTAGGTTTAAGTTAGCATAGGTTGGGTAGTTAGAATGGAATTGGGTTGTAGTAGGTTGGGGTTCAGTAACAGTTCAATCTGTAAAAAACAACGTTACGTTATGACTGGTGTTCAACTTGTACAAACCCTTCGCGTTAGTTATGATGAGGTCCAGCAGTTAAGGTGTTTGTTCCTCCATTGTCTGCCCTCTTCCCAGGCTGGTGGAGGAAGTTGGCTGGTCCAGTACTCCTTCATCACCCACCAAGTTCAGTGACTATGGTGGCGTCACTATACGACCAAGTTAGCTACACTCCATCCTCAGCGCCACGATACCCCAAGTTTGCCGGCACCTCCTGGTGGTCGGTGATTTATTGTCTACAGGGTTTGGGTTTAATCGTCTGGGAGTTCACGTTTCAACTTCTTGAGGTCAGGTTGGTCATCTTTGGAGGTTCAGTTGGAGTCATCTTCCAGAGGTTCATGTTTCATTGGCAAGTGTTGAATCCTCTACATTCCTGAGGTTTATGTTTCATTTCCTGAGGTTCAGGTTTTCATTACCTGAGGTTGCACGAGTTAAATTGTGAAAATTCACGTTACTACTGTCTCAGGTCTAGGAGGCACTGTCTCCCCAACAGAAGGGCGCCCTTCCGTCGCTGGTTGACCAGCATGAGCGCAGCGGCACCAGTAGAGGCGGGGCTCTTACTAGCTGAAGGACGTCATCGCCACACGTCCATCGCAGAGGAACCAACAACATCTCAGCCTCACTGGCCCCCGCCCCTCCCGGTGGTATACTTGCTTCCGAACTACTTCGTGTATGTTTTACATTAATTAAGCAGCGCAATGTATAAACGATGAAGTGGCATGCGTATAATGACACGAGGGAGAAGGTCATTTCACTTGCTTTATATACATACCTAATGGTATATAAGGTGATATTATATATAATATATACGTAGGGAAAAGGAGGCAAATGGCCTGTGTAGGGATCCTCCATTTTCTTGATAATTTTGTCAAGGGCTATTTGAAGCCCTACTGTTCGCGATTTCACATCATGGAGGCTGGTATTCATTGGTAGACGACCCTCTGTGAAAATGTATTTTTAAGAAATTCGTTCAGCATGATAACTTGAGCCAGGTTGAGGCAGTGATGCATCAATATCTTTACACCCACGAGGTGGGCAGAAGTCAGGGGTGAAATAAATTTATATTACTAATTTTTATTGTCAAAAATTTCTTTATTTTTATTTTTCAGTTTATATTATTATCAACAACTGAAGTTAAAAGTATGATATGTTATACAGTACTTCTAGAAATTGATCTTTGACCATATACTTCACCATGTTGCCGTGTTGGTGTTGTGTCACTGCCTTGTTTACCTGGGACGATCAGCTGGTGAGTTGAGTTTGAGCACCTGAAGGCGGGTTCATCCTGCTGGTAGTCCACCAACAGCCCTGTCTTCATTCATATTTAGCCGACTGGTCGGTTTTACAATCCTAGTGACAGTTAACGTGGCACCAGTCGGGTGTATCATGTCTGGAGTCTCCGGACGAGTGTTGAGGATAAAATAAATCGGAGATTCGTAGGGAAATGGGCTTCGAAGAACAGATTAAAATCGATGAATGGAGGGACACTGCTATGTGCACAGTATACAGAAGTGGTGTTATATAAACAGATATATATCTATTTCAATAAAATCGTCATAAAAGTTTTGGTGGTTTAACATGAATAAAGATAATTACCCAGTATACAGTTCAGCACACATAAATAACGCAGGTACTCGCTGAAAATACCGGCAATTTTTTTGCTAGTCGTATGACCACAAACCAATTGCAAGAACAGTTATTAGATTATGCAACCATTTACGATGACTATTCTTGCCCTGATCTTTTCAACAATATCGCCTTTAACACATGGAACTCTGCACCAGGCTTTGGAGGAATGTCGAAGCAAGTTTCCTGGTCAGGAATTATTAGCTAGTGCTGTACTCAAAATATTGAAACTTCGAGATCTCTCCAGAGCTTTGAAAAGGTAGTATTCCTGAAACAAGACCAGGGCAAGAAGGTCATCGTAAGTAATCATCTACCATGACTAGTGTTCATTTGAAATTCCTCGGGACCCCACCTTACAGATACTTTGTGGCCCGGCCTTACAGTATACAGTATTTTCCATGTACAGTACCTGTGTGTCCACTGTACACGTAAAGTAGTAGGTGGTCTGCTCAGATACTGTTATAATGTATCAGCAGAACATAGTTTGTAGACGCTTAAGTGTTGGAAGCTTATTTGTAAGTGTTGTGGTCTAATTCAGGAAACTTTCTTAAGTACTGCTGAGATTTAGCTTCATTCTTTTACCTGTTGTCGTAAGTGGGGAATCAAATACACTGCTAAGACCAAGCAAATATAAAATTCTTTATGGGCTCTTTATTACCACAAACACTTGTAGAAGTGATGGTTTGAATGGGATTCAAGCACGAGTTGGCAATTATTACACCCACAGATCTCAGTTTCATTACTGCATCAAACCTCCACTACACTTAATAAAGGTAAGACATATATCTTCAGGGATTATGCTTCAGCACTGTAGCTCACTCTCCCGGCCCACTAAGCCGCTGTGTTTCAGTACTTCACTCCTCTTTTCTTTTAGCAATACACATTATTAAGGGAGTATACACAAGGGTTACAGTGCCATGTCAATTTGGTACATCTCTTCTAGTCAGTATTCACTCCTGCATGAGGTCTAGGCCGGGGTTGGTCCTGCATGGTGGTGGTGGTGGTGGTGGTCTTAGCGTGGACAGACTTCCTAGCCTTAGCTAGGATGCTCCTGAGACGTGTGAGCGGTGAAGAAAAGTTTCAAGGTAATGAAGGAAGCCCCCAGGAACAGCCCCATCTGCCTCTGGAGTCACCACCAGGAGACACATCTGACTGTTAATTGACAAGGTGGTCATCTGACCAAAGAACTTATCACACACACACACACACACACACGGTTGTACTTGGAACTTCCAAGCAGCTTGAGATTCGTGGACCCACAATATACTCACTAGACTGGACTCAGACAGCATCGTACGGAACGACAAGGGATTCATTGAACATGCTAACAGAGGTTTACAAGTGACTGATCAAAACAACTGAATTTGACTAACCCGATGAACCAAACGTTACTCTAGAACCACACTGTGCCTGAACCAAACGTTACATACTGAACCACACTGTTACTGAACCAAACGTTACTCACAGAGCCACACTGTTACTGGGCAAACGTTACATACTGAACCACACTCATTACTGAACCAAACGTTACATACTGAACCAAACGTTACTCCACGAACCACACACTGTTACTAGACAACGTTACATACTATGGAGCACACTGTTACTGAACCAAAACGTTGCATACTGAACCAACGTTACTCACCAAACACTGTTACTGAACCAAACATTACTCACAGAAGACTAACAGACGTTACATACAGAACCACACGTTACTCACAGAACCACACTGTTACTGAACCAAACGTTGCATACTGAACCACACTGTTACTGAACCAAACGTTACTCACCCAGAGACCACTGTTACTGTTAAAACGTTATACTAGACACACACTGTTACTAGACTGGCATTGCTCACAGGCCACTGTTACTGAACCAAACATTTACATACTAGACCACTGTTACTGAACCAAGCATTTACATACTGAACCAAACGTTACTCATTCACATATTTACTGACCAAACGTTACTCCCCAGAACCACACTGTTACTGAACCAAACGTTACATACTGAACCACTGTTGCTGAACCACACTGTTTACTGAACAAACGTTACTCACAGAACCACACACTGTTACTGAACCAAATATTACACACTGAACCACACTGTTACTGAACCAAACATTACATACAGAACCACGTTACCTACAGAACCACATTACATACAGAACCACACACATACAGAACCACACATTGCCTACAGAACCAAACGTTACATACAGAAACCACGTTACATACAGAACCACACGTTACCTACAGAACCAAACGTTACATACAGAACCGTTACCTATAGACAAACGTTACATACAAGAACCAAACGTTACGCCACAGAACCAAACGTTACATGCAGAACCACGTTATACAGAACCACATTTACATACAGAACCACGTTACCTACCGGTGCATTACGCTGAAACCAAATGTTACTTAGAACCAATCGTTACATACAGAACCGCACGTTACCTACAGAACCACACGTTACATACAGAACCAAATGTTACTTAGAACCACACGTCACATACAGAACCAAACGCTACTTACTGAACCAAACGTTACATACAGAACCAAATGTTACTTAGAACCAAACGTTACATACAGAACCAAACGTTACATACTGAAACAAATGTTACTTAGAACCACACGTTACATACAGAACCAAACGTTACATACAGAACCAAATGTTACTTAGAACCAAACGTTACATACAGAACCAAACGCTACTTACTGAACCAAACGTTACATACAGAACCAAACGTTACATACAGAACCAAATGTTACTTAGAACCAAACGTTACATACAGAACCAAACGTTACATACTGAAACAAATGTTACTTAGAACCACACGTTACATACAGAACCAAACGTTACATACAGAACCAAATGTTACTTAGAACCAAACGTTACATACAGAACCAAACGTTACATACAGAACCAAACGTTACATACCGAACCACACTGTTACTTACTGAACCAAGTGAAAATAGTTGATACTCTCTCATGGTATTCAGTATAGCCCAGCTGTGCGTAGTAAACATTTAACATAGAGACGGTCTCACTGCGGAGTAAAACACGTTGGTTAATGTTCGGCTATGTTATTTGTCCGTTAATGTGTAGGTTAGTGTGACATGGGGATAATTTATATGTATTAATAGTGATAATTCCTATGTATTAATAGTGATTATTCCCTTGTATTAATAGTGATAATTCCCTTGTATTAATAGTAATAATTCCCTTGTATTAATAGTGATAATTCCCTTGTATTAATAGTGATAATTCCGTTGTATTAATAGTGATAATTCCGTTGTATTAATAGTGATAATTCCCTTGTGTTAATAGTGATTATTCCCTTGTGTTAATAGTGATTATTCCCTTGTATTAATAGTGATAATTCCCTTGTATTAATAGTGATAATTCCTATGTATTAATAGTGATAATTCCTATGTATTAATAGTGATAATTCCCTTGTATTAATAGTGATAATTCCCTTGTGTTAATAGTGATTATTCCCTTGTATTAATAGTGATAATTCCCTTGTATTAATAGTGATAATTCCCTTGTATTAATAGTGATAATTCCCTTGTATTAATAGTGATAATTCCTATGTATTAATAGTGATAATTCCGTTGTATTAATAGTGATAATTCCCGTGTGTTAATAGTGATTATTCCCTTGTGTTAATAGTGATTATTCCCTTGTATTTATAGTGATAATTCCTATGTATTAATAATGATAATTCCTATGTATTAATAATGATAATTCCTATGTATTAATAGTGATAATTCCTATGTATTATTAGTGATAATTCCTATGTATTAATAATGATAATTCCTATGTATTAATAGTGATAATTCCTATGTATTAATAGTGATAATTCCTATGTATTAATAGTGATAATTCCTATGTATTAATAGTGATAATTCCTATGTATTAATAATGATAATTCATATATATATATATATATATATATATATATATATATATATATATATATATATATATATATATATATATAGAATATTTAAAAGTTAAAAAATATATATATATATATATATATATATATATATATATATATATATATATATATATTATTTTTTAAACTTTTAAATGTTCTTCATAGCTCTAGAGAAGTAAAAAAACTAAAATTAAATGTAACTATTAACTAACCTAACCTAACAATAACAACAGAGGCGGTAACAATAAACAGAATAAGTATCACAACAACAGAACAAGTATCACAACAACAGAACAAGTATCACAACAACAGAACAAGTATATCACAACAACAGAACAAGTATCACAACAACAGAACAAGTATCACAACAACAGAACAAGTATCAACAACAAAAAGATCATATCACAACAACAGAACAAGAACCAACAACAGAACAAGTATCACAACAACAGAACAAGTATCACAACAACAGAACAAGTATCACAACAACAGAACAAGTATCACAACAACAGAACAAGTATCACAACAACAGAATAAGTATCACAACAACAGAATAAGTATCACAAAAGAACAAGTATCACAACAGAACAAGTATCACAGCAACAGAACAAGTATCACAACAACAGAACAAGTATCACAACAGAACAAATATCACAACAACAGAACAAGTATCACAACAACAGAACAAGTATCACAACAACAGATCAAGTATCACACCAACAGAACAAGTATCACAACAACAGAACAAGTATCACAACAACAGAACAAGTATCACAACAACAGAACAAGTATCACAACAACAGAACAAGTATCACAACAACAGAACAAGTATCACAACAACAGAACAAGTATCACAACAGAACAAGTATCACAACAACAGAACAAGTATCACAACAACAGAACAAGTATCACAACAACAAGGGATACATTTAATAATTCAGTAACACATGTAGGTAACTTTACACAGGTGCTCAAGAAACACATGAAACTCAAACACGGGGAAGTTATAACGTCTTAGTGAGTGTTGTTATTACTTGGTGATAGAGACGCCTTCCTGTGCCTGCAATGTTTCCTTCAGTAGTGTGGTGAAGCTCTGTTGTTGGGTGATGGATGTGGTCTGACACAGCTTGTTCCAGCCTGAGAGAGAGAGAGAGAGAGATGAATGGTGTGGCGTAGATGATAATTGGTAGGAGAGAGAGGAGAAAAGAGAAAGAGAGAGAGTGAGAGAGAGAGATGAATGGTGTGGCGTAGATGATAATTGGTATGAGAGAGGAGAAATAGAGAAAGAGAGAGAGAGAGAGAGTCTGACATCAGATTCCAGTTTGTTTAGAATAGGAAAACTGGATTGTATTTTCCATGTAATTAGTGATTCTTAGACAACATATTATTATTAAAACACCCAAAGCTGTTAACCTTATGTAGAACAATATATTCTAGTTTACTTTAACCTTATTGAGTTAAATGAGGTGTTAGAGGTCAATAAAATGAGATGTTGAGGTCAATAGATATAATGAGGTGTAGGTCAGTAAATGAGATGTGTTAGAGGACAAGATATAATGAGGTGTTGGAGGTTAAAAATGAGTTGTTAGAGGTCAATAGATATAATTGAGTGTTGGAGGTCAGTAAAATGAGATGTGTTAGAGGTCAATAGATATAATGAGGTGTTGAGGTCAGTAAAATGAGATGTGTTGGAGGTCAATAGATATAATGAGGTGTTGGAGGTCAATAAAATGAGGTGTTAGAGTCAATAGATATAATGAGTGTTGAGTCAAAATGAGATGTGTTAGAGTCATAGATATAATGAGGTTGGAGGTCAGTAAAATGAGATGTTAGAGGTCAATAGATATAATGAGGTGTGTGGAGGTCATAAAAATGAGATGTGTTAGAGGTCAATAGATATAATGAGTGGGAGGTCAGTAAAATGAGATGTGTTGAGGTCAATAAAATGAGTTGTTGGTTACAGATAAAATGAGGTATGTTGGTGGTCAAATATGAGATGGGAGCAATAAAATGAGATGTGTCGGAGGTTAATAAAATGAGGTGTGTTGGAGGTCAATAAAATGAGATGTGTTGGAGATAAAATGAGGTGTTGGAGGTCAATAAAATGAGATGTGTTGGAGGTCAATAATATGAGGTGTGTTGGAGGTACTGTACTGGTGTTGAGTTTGAGGTGCTCCAGAAGACACGTCTCCATCCTGTCCTCCTTGTTCCTATGGTTGAGGACGTCCTTAGGCCCACACTCATCTGCAGGCGAGAGGTGTCCTAGTCACTGATAGTTCGACGACAAATAACCATTAACCCGCACTTGTCATTTATTAATCCCCGCCAGACGATTTTGTTCAGCTTAGGGTAACCTCCCGCTGTTAAAGGGTTAAACTTAACCTAGAATAAGAGTCTAGGAATTAATAAAAAAAACTGAACTAGTTATGTTTTTACTATATTATTATCATGGCGAGTAGGGAAGCTGTCTGGTAGGATTTTGGTTACTTCATTAGTTTGGCGGATTTTGAAGAACGTCCTGACGAGGGTGAGGTAACAGAGGTTGTATTCTCTGTGTCTCTCACCTGTTGTGTCGTTAGGGAACCTGTAGGGTAGAGTGGAGCAGTTGGTGAGGGCGAGGGGGCAGGTTCTGTAGCGGATGTGGTAGTACAAGTTGGACCCGGTAAGGGCCTTCTCCTCCTCCTTCATCTCCCAGAATTGTTGCTCCGTCACACAGGTGGAACGAGACCACGGCCACACCCCCAGGTACCGCTCACTACGGTCCAACTGAGAAGAGATGGTGAGAGTCCTTGAGGAGCGGGAGGTAAGGCGAGGATTGGGTATGTGTCTGTGTGTGTTGGGGAGACAGGTACAGTGTTTGTATCTTCGTCAATATTCCCAGCCTATACACGCACTCTTCCCATCTTACCTTCCCTTTGAGCCCCACATTACTCCTCCAGTCCCCAGCCCCATAAAGTGGCCTTAAAGACCCACCGTTGTGACGGAGAGGGCGACGGACACAGCGGTGTTGGGGGAGATGCGTAGGGCCTGCATGTTGGTGGCGACGGTGGGGGTTAGGTCAAAGTTGGAGAGCGAGACGTGGATTCCTTCCTCAGCCAGGGTGATCGTCGACACCACGTTAGTATCGTACTCTGGTGGAGGTGAAGAGGGTAGACCAGTCAGCCCACGTTGTTAGTGTTAGAAAAGACTTACTATTACTACCCATGTTTCAATAATACGACTACTAATAACGGGACCCAGGATGGGAACAGCAGTTATTCAATATGACTTGCATGGTCTCAAGCAGGCTACCAGTGTAAGTAATATTTAGAATTATAACGAGACCCCGATCCTAAAACGGTATCACGCTTGCGCATCCAGCTTGTTTTCTGAGGGTTGGAAAACTCCCGTGCAGTTGGATTTGCTGTAGCTAAGCTTGAAGTATGACCGGGGTCATATAAAACTGCTAACTCTTATTTTAAATAAATATTTGATAACTTCTGCCTTTAACCTGGTATAATTGGTAAGCAATAAGGAGTATGGTGAATATTAATGGTTTAATTACTATTTACCTGACTCATTTGGTTGTCGTCTGTAAGGATTCCGCCATGTTTGTTGTTATGGTTTGAGGGACTGAGGTTGGAGATGAACATACTGTACGTGAGGTGCGTGTGTGATAGTCCTGTTAGGAGACGGAGTAAATCTGACCGGAGGTTGGAGGAAAAATGCACAAGTGTGATAGCCCCTTAATGGTAAGACAAATTTGAGGGTGTTGGTGGTGCGGCGTAACACAATTATATATCACTACTGTTAAGGTTTGAGTTTTGGCCCAGGACACATGGGAAGGATGTTACCTAGTGTGACCTTACCAAACTTCACAGGTTCCTCCTGTACAGTACTAACACTGGAATAGAATAACAGAACAGACCAACAGCCCGAACGATTAGTAAACTGATAAGTGGTGAAATGGCAAATAACTTAATAATTAATAATATAAAGATGATAACAATAACCCACATGCAGTAATAAACCAACCCATATATTCTTGACTGTTAACAGGAAAGGATCCTGTGGCCGCCTATGAGCCCAGTTATGGACTGGTTGAGGTGGAGGGTGGCGCCCTGCGTCAGTGTGGTGTAACACAACCCCAGCGTCGTGATGGTGGGGCTGAACAGGTCCCGGCAGCATTCATTGCTACACATCACCAGGTTAGCCATCAGTTAATAGTCTTGTATGGTTATTGCTTAAAGCTACACAACAATTTTTATGTCTTATATGATGTAATATAATTATTACTGCAGTTCAACAGCTACAGTGTTTGGGCAGTACACTACGTCATACACCAAATACTAACAACTGACAATTAAGAGATACATATCTGATTCTACATATTATTGTAACACCCAGCCTGGTCAAGGCTCTACGTACACCGGTATACCCAGTGGCGTAGCTACTGGGGGAGAAAACACCCCCTTGAGAAAATTCGGGGAAATAATGTTACATACAGGTAATATATATATATATATATATATATATATATATATATATATATATATATATATATATATATATATATATATATATATATATACTATTAAGATGTGATGTATTTCTTTGTGTATGAACCTCTGTCCCGCGTGGCAGTGAGAAATAATACCACCCTCAGTGTCAAGACCTGAATGAATTACTCACAATAGGCAAACTGTACTACAAGCTTTGTCAATAAATTTGTTAAACTTAAAAAAGAAGTAAGGCGCTCCACCAGCACCAGATGCCACACGTACAGAACACGTTTATTCGTACAGGACTGTTTACATATTTCATCTTTGTCCAAGGGGCAACACCGCAAACGGCTCTCGCTCTTTTTTTGTTTTCATTTAGACCTTCACCCTTCTTTAAGGTAAGATTTTATGCGTAGTTAGCGAATTGTTGATCGTTACCGCGCGTTTTCCACAGTTCAGCACCAGTGTGTTTGGGGAGGGAAAGTAAGGGAAGCACAGTGAAGGTAAGGAAAAAATCCTAGAATCGTCACTGGGTTACCGTGAATCAGGCGCTGTTACAACACTTTATTGCGCGGTATTAACATCTATAACTGAGCTATTTTATTATTAGTAATTCGTAAAACATAATACAAAAGTAACAACTACTCCGAAAAAACTAACCTGTAGCGATCCTTACGAGGGCTGAAACATCCTACGATCACCTCTTCACCTGTTCATAGAAAACGAATACACAGAAAACCAAGGTTAGTAAAGGGTAACCATAGCAAAATTTATAAATTGTCTCTAACATAAATCAGCATTAGGTGCTGTAGGTTTGTTATTATTCTGGATGTGCCTTCGCTGGCGTAATAATTATAAACAAATAGAGATTAAATAATATTAAAACACTGTAACACAGACAGATAAGTGAGGCAGACTTTCTCTCATAACTCTGCCAACAATCCTTCAGTTTTAATGTTGTCAGAGGGCCGGGGTTCCTCTCAGTTGTATAAAGTCGTCTGGTGTTAGCCAGAATGAAATAATAAGGGCTACTGTGCCCTCTAAAGTGTTAAAGGCCTTCGTTGTTGGAGCCCAGTAATATCAATATACCAACAAAAGACTACAATGTAAACTTATCAGCCTCACTTCCTCCTTATTTTCACAGTTACTGTAACCACTCACGAGGGGGACAACAGGGTGACCATCTCGCTCAGCGTTAGGTTGTTCACCTTCAAGTAGTCGTCCAGCTCGTCGTTGAGGACCTCCCTGCGCCGGGAGTCGAACCAAGGATTGGCAACATCAGGGCCCCGGATGGCCAGCTGTAGGTAGGAGGCTAAGGTTTTGCTGACGTTGTACTCTGAAAAAGTTTCGAATAAGTCAGGGAACTTCAGGGATGGTCAGGGGAAACCATGGAGCAGATTATAGAGGATTGGAAACTCATCGTAGATCATGGCGTTACCTTCAGAGGTAAGGAGAATGACTTTAATTGACCCCAAAATATTTCAGTGTCCTCACGTTAAGGGTTCATTAACTTATCTTAAACAAGGTCATCCTCTCTGGTACTCTACAATATCCATCATTGTGCAGAAAGACTGTGTGTGTTCATCAGAGTTAGTTGAGTTTACTATGTGTGTGTGTGTGTGTGTGTGTTTTCTATGTATACAAACACAATTTTCTGTCGTCACTCACTCTTCATCTTGGACTTCCAAAACCCCGAGAGGCTGCAGATGGTCATGAAGGGGACCCTCATACCCGAGCTGTGCAGGTCGTGGTAGATGACCTGGGTGGAAGGCCGCCGGGTCACCAGGGCAGAGTAGGTCACGTCGTAACACGCAGACAGAAGCAGCACCAATCTGGAGGGTTATGGTCAGGTGAGGGTTGTGGGCAGGTGAGGGTTGTGGTCAGGTGAGGGTTGTGGTCAGGTGAGGGTTGTGGTCAGGTGAGGTTGTGGTCAGGTGAGGGTTGTGTCAGGTGAGGGTTGTGTCAGGTGAGGTTGTGGGTAGATGAGGGTTGTGGTCAGGTGAGGTCGTGGTCAGGTGAGGGTTGTGTCAGGTGAGGGTTTGGGGCAGGTGAGGGTGTGGTCAGGTGAGGGTTGTGGCCAGGTGAGGTTGTGGTCAGGTGGGGTTGTGGCCAGGTGAGGGTTGTGGTCAGGTGAGGGTTGTGGGTAGATGAGGGTTGTGGTCAGGTGAGGGTTGTGTCAGGTGAGGGTTGTGGGCAGGTGAGGGTTGTGGGTAGATGAGGTTGTGTCAGGTGAGGTTGTGGGTAGATGAGGGTTGTGGTCAGGTGAGGTGTGTCAGGTGAGGGTTGTGGGCAGGTGGGGTTGTGGGCAGGTGAGGTTGTGGTCAGGTGAGGGTTGTGTCAGGTGAGGGTTGTGGGCAGGTGAGGGTTGTGGCCAGGTGAGGGTTGTGGTCAGGTGAGGGTTGTGGCCAGGTGAGGGTTGTGCGGAAACTTTTACAATGTAATTTCTTTCTCAAACGAGCTGAAACTTGGTCAATGTTCACCCAGAGTAAAGATTCCTATTGAGAACAAGAACAAAATCGAATCATGCAAACTGGTCAATAAGTCCCCTTTTGTAAACATTGAATTCAAATATGGTTGCGGCGGTTCACAGTTTCCCGTTTTCCTGTGCTGCTCACCCTGTCATAGTGACGAAGAGCCAGAAGAGTCGAAGGAGGAGGTGTTGCTCTTCCTTCACGATGTGGTTAAAGCCGTGAGCTGTCGTCTTGTTGCAGAACTCCCTGGTGATAGGGGGAAGGGAAAGGTGGTGGTACAGTACAATCCAGTTTATAGGTCCTGACACACCAGTAAACATTGAGGTGAAGGAACAGTGATCATTGTGGTGATTGGTTTTGGTGTTGTTTACTTGAAATGATAATAATTAGTGAGGAATAAAGTACAGTGATACCTCTTGTGTTTATGTTATTACTGTGTTTCAACAACTAGGGTTATGGTAACTCAGAATAATTTTATATTTTTGAGTAAACCGGAAAACATATGACACCAAGTATTTTTAGAATTACGCAAGTCACGTCCTGAACACAAAGAAAGTTATGACACATTCATTTCCTTACATAACAAGCGTGGTCATGATGGCGGTGCGATTCTCCGGGAAAGACCAATAAGGAACATATGAATCACTTAAGACGTAAAGAAGGATTTTCTTTTGGTAATTGATAATAATTTCGTAATAAAAGTGTACTGTAATTACTATTGAGATATTTTATATGGTTATTGATCAGTAATGATTAATCGCAACGCCTTCGTCTTCAAGATCCGGACAAATAGATAGAATTTACACGTTTCTCTACAGCACCACAGCCAAACACTCCTCCACCTACACTAGCGCATCCTGGGCTCCCTGGGTCATATCAGAGGCCTGCTTTATGATCCCTCTCGTGGTCTTCGTCAGGTCATCTCGAGAGCACCCTCTGTGCAGGCGGCTCTCCTCGTCCTCTTTCTTTACGTCGATGTCTTTTGGTGTTTTACTCTCTTGTTTTACTTCCTTCAACCTTTTCTCAACCTTCTCCTCTCCCTCTTCCTCTTCAGTCCTCGGCGGTGTGGTGCTTTTGGTAGTCAGGGACCTGCCCGGGTACACGGTGTGGTAGGCGGGCGGGTCGTCATCAGCCTTGGCCGCCATCTTAATCGCTGCGGTTTAAGGGAGTGATTAATTGAGTATATGATTACCTAATTACCATATCTAATGACTTTTTCATTGATGACCTGACGGACTTATTAACACTCGTCTAGTGCTTCCTGTGGTTATCTGCTACGCAAAGTTTAATTGACTTTATTCACTGGTTGTAATCTCTCCATCTGGTTCCCGATTATTACCTTAGTTGCTTATTTAACAGCTACTCGTGCTAGCCAGAGCCACAGCGATACGTCCACCCCCTCAGCCTCACCACACTAAACTGACCCATCCAGGCGACCCAACAGGTACCACCACTTCACCCACGCCCTCTTATGTGAGGATTACGACCTACGCTGCCGGGCTCACCATTTAAGCTCGTCGTAAATTACCCGACTGATATAAACTTCAACTCTTGTTTTTTCTTGTTATTAGTTGTAGACCAGGATGTGTGTGGTGGGGGGGGGGGTAGGTTAGGTTAGGGTATGTATAGTTTTATTTTACAGTATTTGTCTTCTTATTTTCCTCTACATAATCTAACCTAAACCTAACCTAACGCTAAACTATCCTAATCTAATCCTAATCTAACTTAACCTGACTTAACCTAACCTAATCTATCTTCCCCAGTCAGTGTTTAAAATGATTTAATCTTAATGATCAATCGATCTTTATTCTTACACGGGGAGGGGGAGGAGGAGGTCTCGAGGCACTATTATCATTCGTTGTTGACCTGAGGACGTGAGCCAGAAGCAATAACCAGAATAAGTTAACAGCATTATACACGTGTGGGTCTCTCATGAGTGGTGCTCTCCCTGGAAGCCTCTGAATGTCCCTCTTATCACACACACACACACACACACACGCTGGTGCTTCCTCCACTCTTGTGCTGGGCCCTAACGTCAACAACAACCGCTCCTCCGCTTTCTACCACACCCTCCAGGGAACGTTACTATGAGGTGTGTAGTTAGGTTAGGTTGTGTTTGGTTAGGTTAGGTTGAGTTTGGTTTGGTTAGGTTTGGTTGGGTTTGGTTAGGTTGGGTTTGGTTTGGTTAGGTTTGGTTGGGTTTGGTTAGGTTTGGTTGGGTTTGGTTAGGTTGAGTTTGGTTGGGTTAGGTTTGGTTGAGTTTGGTTGGGTTAGGTTAGGTTGAGTTTGGTTGGGTTAGGTTTGGTTGGGTTAGGTTGAGTTGGTTGGGTTAGGTTAGGTTGAGATTGGTTGGGTTGGGTTTGGTTAGGTTTGGTTGGGTTTGGTTGGGTTGAGTTTGGTTGGGTTGGGTTTGGTTAAGTTTGGTTGGGTTGGGTTGGGGTTCGGGTTTGGTTGGGTTAGGTTTGGTTGGGTTAGGTTGGTTTGGTTGGGTTAGGTTAGGTTGGGGATTGGTTGGGTTGGGTTAGGTTGAGTTTGGTTGGGTTAGGTTAGGTTGAGTTTGGTTGGGTTTGGTTGGGTTAGGTTTGGTTGGGTTAGGTTGAGTTTGGTTGGGTTAGGTTAGGTTGAGATTGGTTGGGTTAGGTTAGGTTGAGTTTGGTTGGGTTAGGTTAGGTTGAGTTTGGTTGGGTTTGGTTAGGTTGAGTTTGGTTGGGTTAGGTTAGGTTGAGTTTGGTCGAGTTTGGTTGGGTTAGGTTAGGGGTGGATAAGGGAGGTACAGTATGGCTTAGTGAGGTTACCCAGTGTGTTATATTGCCTCTCCAACGACTCATCCTGGATTACCTCCCGCTACCTCGTGCCAGGAATTTATGAGTCGCGTTATGAGACAAGTGTATGAGGTGAGGTGATTTACGTCCTATGAGGGATAACAACGCTAATGAAAAAAAAAAGATTTCTAGTTTATATAGAGATAAGATAGATAGATAGGAAGATAGGTTAGGTTAGCGATAGGTTAGGTTAAGTTAGCTTACCGTTACGTAGGTTAGGTTAGTTTAATTTAGCGCTAGGTAGTTTAGGTTAGTTTAGTTTAGAGCTAGGTAGTTTAGGTTAGTTTAGCGCTAGGTAGTTTAGGTTAGTTTAGTTTAGCGCTAGGTAGTTTAGGTTAGTTTAGCGCTAGGTAGTTTAGGTTAGGTTAGTTTAGCGCTAGGTAGCTTAGGTTAGTTTAGCGCTAGGTAGTTTAGGTTAGGTTAGTTTAACGCTAGGTAGTTTGGGTTGGTTTGGCGCTAGGTAGTTTGGGTTGGTTTAGCGCTGGGTGGTTTTAGGTTAGGTTGGTTTGGCGCTGGGTGGTTTGGGTTAGTTGGTTTAGCTGGGTAGTTTCAGGTTGGTTTGGCGCTGGGTGGTTTAGGTTGAGCTAGTTTGGCTCTGGGTAGTTTTAGCTCTGGTGGTTTAGGTTGGTTTTGGTTTGGCGCTAGGTAGTTTAGGTTGGTTTAGTGCCGGGTAGTTTGGGTTAGTTAGTTTGGCGCTGGTGGTTTAGGTTAGTTTAGTGCCAGGTAGTTTAGGTTGGGCTAGTTTGGCTCTGGGTAGTTTAGCTCTGGAAGTAGTTTTAGGTTAGTTTAGTTTGGCGCTGGGTAGTTTGGGTTAGTTGGTTTGGCGCTGGGTAGTTTAGGTTGGTTTAGTGCCGGGTAGTTTGGGTTGGGTTAGTTTGGCGCTGGGTGGTTTGGGTTAGTTGGTTTGGCGCTTCAGGTAGTTTAGGTTAGTTTAGCGCTAGGTAGTTTAGGTTAGGCTAGTTTAGCTCTAGGTAGTTTAGCTCTAGGTAGTTTAGGTTAGTTTAGTTTAGCGCTAGGTAGTTTAGGTAAGTTAGTTTAGCGCTAGGTAGTTTAGGTTAGTTTAGCGCTAGGTAGTTTAGCGCTAGGTAGTTTAGGTTAGTTTAGTTTAGCGCTAGGTAGTTTAGCTCTAGGTAGTTTAGCGCTAGGTAGTTTAGGTTAGTTAGTTTAGCGCTAGGTAGGTTAGATAAGATTAAGTTAAGCTATTGTTAGGGTGTTTAATCATCAGGTGAAATAAGCTGGAGTGGCTAATCTTCAGGTGATCCTATATTAATGATAAACCCAGGTGACTTGACACAGCAGGTGAGTGTGACGTGTCCCTCAGGCTCACAAGTTCCCTGACTCACCTAATAGCAGTATTCCTCCTTCCCCTCCCACTCTTCTCTTCCCCTTTCTTCCCTTCCTTTCTCCCTCCCTTCGCCTTAGTATCCTTTCCCTTCCCCTTCCTCCCTTCCTTCCTCCCTTCTTCTCTTCCCTTTCTCCCGACCTTCCCCCTTCCTTATTTCCTTTCCTTCCCTCCCTTCGCCTTACTACTTTCTTTTCCCTTCCCCCTTCCCCTCCGTCCTTCCTCCCTTCTTCCCATCTTCTATCCTTCTTAATCTCCCCCTCCATATACCCCTTCCTTATTTCCGTTCTCTCTCTCTCTCTCTCCCCCTCCTTTCCTTTATAATGAGACAAATAAACAGAGAAGAGGATTACATATATAGTAAGATTATAGAGAGTAGTAATGTAAAGAGGGGAAGGTTGGGTAGCGGGGCCGTCTGTTATTTACTCAGCGCCATACGCTTATCTTCTTATCTCGTATGTCAATACACATATATTACTCCTTAAAGGGACAACTTGCTACACCTCTTCGACACAACTTTTTATTAATTCACTTAATGACATGGACACATCAATATCACTATTATATCGGGGTATTGACACGCTAGGTCTAACGTTACTTGACACTGACTCTGGGATACAACATGAATGAATACACTTCCCACAGTAGGTAATTCACCCTAGGAATAGTTCTGACAAGACTCACGTGTACCCTGACGTAGGCCCAGTGGGTGCTTGGCTGGGCTGCCTCCTATGGGAGGCTTCTGCTTAGCTGGGGTCTACATAAGAACATAAGAAAATAAGGAGTCTGCAATAGGCCGGTTGGCCTGTGCATGGCATCTCCTGTCGAGAGTTACTACCACTCTGGTCTGGACGGGAAGTCCCCCTCCCGACCTGGGGAGAGGACGAGCGTGACTCTGAGACTCTCCAGAGTAATGAGCGTCTCCTCAGAATGTTCGAATGACAACTAGGATCAGAATGAGACTCAAAATGAGAATGATCGTGGACGGGACTGTAGGGCCTTTATATAGGGTCGGCCCAGCCGGCTTTTGACCTCTAACCAATTATCACTAAACTGGTTAGATCCGGATAGCTGTGTGCAGGTGTGGTCATGCCCAGGTGTCTTGGTCAGGTGACTTGTAGGTCAAGCCCCCGCTAATTCAAGTCATTAGTGGCGAGGTCGGGTCCCTTGGGTCTTGGGGTGTGTCTACCTGGAATGTAATGGTACCACGAGGTCTCTAGCGTACTTGCTACTTGTTGGTCTGACAAACAATCATTACACCTTTTTCTTCACTTCCCTTTATTTTCCTCCTTTCAGAGGCTTCTGAGAAAAATTAAGGCTCATGGTATCGAGGGGAAAGTTTTAAATTGGATAAAATCATGGCTCACCGATAGAACGCAGAGGGTCAGCGTAGATGGTGTTAAATCTGAGTGGGGCCGTGTAACCAGTGGGGTTCCCCAGGGGTCAGTACTAGGCCCACTCTTGTTCGTAATCTACATAAACGATCTAGATACTGGGATCAGCAGTGACATAAGCAAGTTTGCGGATGACACCAAAATAGGGCGGCAAATTAATTCAGGGCAGGATGCAAATGCATTTCAGGAGGATCTAAATAAACTGCAGGGGTGGTCTGAAAAATGGCAAATGAAATTCAACACCAGCAAGTGCAGCGTACTTAATATTGGAAGAACAAATACTTATAATGTATACAGCCTTAACAACATCAACCTAGAGAAGTCGACTTGTGAAAGAGACCTAGGGGTACTTGTAAGCCCGGACCTACGGCCTAGAAAACGAATCCAGGTAAAAAAGTCACAGAAAAAGAAGTCACAGGAAAAAAAGAAAAGTTAACTATCGAATTCTCACATTTTTTAAGGTTAATATGTCAATCAGTTTCAGTAAAGGAATATGCAGAACTGATGGTAACCTAACCTAACCTAACCTAACCTAACCTAACCTTTATTACCGGCCACCATAAATTAATTGACTTTTTTTCCTGTGACTTTTTTTCCTAGCCAAAATTGTGACTTTTTTTCTGTGACTTTTTTCCTGTGACTTTATTACCGGCCACCTAGAAAACAGTGCGTTAATGTTCGAAATAAGGCAACAGAGTATTGGGTTTTATATCTAGAAGTGTAAGTAACAAGAGTGCAGAGGTCTTATTGCAACTATATCTTGCGCTAGTCAGGCCACACCTCGATTATGCGGTTCAATTCTGGTGCCCTTATTATAGAATGGATATAAATTCACTAGAGTCGGTGCAGCAAA